GCCTCTCTCGGCCGCCGCATTCCATCTCTTTTCTCCGCCTTTTCTAATGCTCGCGTCCCATCTATCTTCTCGATCAGAAAGCTCTTCCGCATTCAAGGTCTGTCTCCCCATAAATGAAATGAAGGTAGGGGCCTCGGGGGAGAAAACTCGGTCTGTCTGTTTGTCTGTCTGTGTCTGTCTGTCTTTCTCTTTCTCTTTCTCTTTCTCTTCGCTCTCTCCTTTTCTCTTTCTCTTTTTTTCGGTCTCTCTCTTTCTCTTTCTCTTCGCTCTCTCTCTCCGCTCTCTCTCTTCGCTCTCTCTCTCTCTCTCTCTCCTCTCTCTCTCTCCTCTCTCTCTCTCTCTCTCTCTCTCTCTCTCTCTCTCTCTCTCTCTCTCTCTCTCTCTCTCATTCTCTCTTCTACAATATTTTTTGCTGAATATACGTTCTCCTCTGGCTATTCATAGCAAAGTGTTTGATACCGTTTTTTTCCTTTTGATTTATTTTTTTATATTCCCGTCATTTTTTCTCTTCTTTTCTTAGTTCTTTTTTCTTCTTTTCCTCCTTATCCTCCTCCTTCTTCTTTTTCTTCTACTTTTCCTCATCCTCCTGCTCCTCATTCCCCCTCCTCCTCTTCATTCCTCCTCCTCCTCCTCCTCCCCCTCCTCCTCCTCCCCCTCCTCCTCCTCCTCCTCCTTCTCCTTCTCCCTCGTCGGTTCGCAATTCCTAGTCGGGGCGAAGAGGAGGCTCAAAAAAATGCTATCCCACACGCGCGTCCCTCCTCCTTTTGTAATCTCGAGAGAAATCCCAAAATCCCCCCCCTCCCCCCCCCCCCCATATCATTGTGTGGAGATTTTCATGTTATCACGCCCAGAGTGAAAGAAAAAAAGAAAGCAAAAAAAAAGACAAGAAAAGAAAGGACTTTTGATCATTTTTTTGTTCCCTGTTGAAGTCTCCTCGGCTCGGCTCGTGTGTCTAGGTGGGGGGTGGGGTGGGGGGGGGGATATGAGGGAGAGGGGGTGGAGTGGAAGTGATGATTTATTGTTGTTGATTTTACTACTATTGTTGCTGTTGTTTTTGTCGTTGTTTATGTTGTTCATGTTGTTAATTATTGAAAATTTTATGAGTATTATTGGCGATTTTTTGTTTTTGTTTTTAGGATTATTTGTCATTGCTATTATTATTATTATGATGATGATGATGAAGATGATGATGATGACGATGATGATGATGGTGATTAATATCATTATTTTTACTATTACCATTATTATTCTTAGTATTATTATTATTGTTATCATCACCACCGTCACCACTTTTATTATCATTATCTTCTTTATCGTCATTTTCCTTTGTCACTATCACTTATTCGTGCTGTAGGACGTCATAAGGACAGACAGGATGCTTGAAGGCAGAGAAACAGGAGAGGAAGTCCGCTATATTTATATTTCTGGCAACGAAGAAGATTTTAAAGAAGTATTTTATTTTATTTTTTGGCGCGACTGAGGAGGTAATTGGCTCTATTTTTAAGTGTAATTGTCCGTTCGATAGTTTTACATATTTATCAGCTTGAAATTTGACGTCGTTTATATTTCATGAAGATGACAGTTTTGTGCTATTAAAAAAAGAAATTAATTTGGCAATAAATGACAATGCATGATCTAGAAACATTATCAGGTGCAATTAAAGACACTTTGGTGGCCCTTTCCATAATTTGATGAATTGGGTTATCTCATTATCATTACTTATATCAATTGAAATAAATGTTATAAATTATCAAGAACGTTTTTTCGGATCTGTATATTTAATTATCTGAAGAGTCTCCCTATCGCTTCTTTTTCTTCTTCCCTTTCTACTTCACTTATTGTCTTCTCCCCATTTTCCTTCTTCTCCCTTCTTCTTCTATCTCCTTCTTTTTTCTGATTCTACTCTTTATTTATCTTCTATATACGTCATTTCTTCTTTTTTTTTCTCCTCCCTCTTTACCTTCGTCTCTTCTTCTCCCATCCTTTCCTCTCTTCCTCCAGTTCCCTTTTCTCTTCTCCACTTATTCCTCCCCAGCAGAAGGGCAATGGCGGTTCTTCTTATATCTCTCTTGCATTTCCTTTTCTTCGTCTTTTATCTCTCTTGCACATCCCTTTCTTCTTTTATCTTCCTCCCCTTTCTCTTTCTCTCCAGCAGAAGGGCAATGGCTCCCTCCTTCGCCGTTATTTCGCTTCTTCTCTTCTCTCTCTCTCTCTCTCTCTCTCTCTCTCTCTCTCTCTCTCTCTCTCTCTCTCTCTCTCTCTCTCTCTCTCTCTCTCTCTCTCTCGCTTCCCCTTTTTCTTTCTTTCCACCCACTCTTTCCCAGCAAAAGGGCAATGGCTCCCACCTTCGCCATTATTTCGCTTCTCTCTCTCTCTCTCTCTCTCTCTCTCTCTCTCTCTCTCTCTCTCTCTCTCTCTCTCTCTCTCTCTCTCTCTCTCTCTCTCTCTCTCTCTTCCCCTTTTTCTTTCTTTCCACCGACTCCTTCCCAGCAAAAGGGCAATGGCTCCCCCTCCCGCCACCAGGGTTCGAGTCACGCCCGAGGAGGTCACGCCCCTGGTGTTGCTCCCAATCAGCGCGTCTCGAAGGACCGCCTTATGCGCTGTTATCTCGCTCTTCGTCGGGGATTCTCACGGCGAGTCCTGGCTGTGGGCCTCGTGAGCTCAGGGGCGGGGCTGGCTTGTTAACTTTTTTTTTTTTTTTTTTTTTTTTTTTGGGGGGGTGGTAGAGGGGTGGGGGAGGGATTGTTCTTGTTTGCTCTACTTTTTTTTGTCTCTTTTTTGTGTTTGTTTTGTTTTTCTTTTTTTCCTTGTTTGCTCTCTGTGTCTGTCTCTATCTCTCTTTCTTTCTGTCTCTGTCTCTCTTTTTCTCTCTCTCTCTCTCTCTCTCTCTCTCTTTCTCACACACACACACACACACACAACACACAACACACACTAACAAACAGACACATTCAGATTTAAATCCACAGATTTATTCATTTATTCCTAAGAATGGATTAGCACTCAACGCAAGCATTCCTCACCAAGGGACGTCAATACCACACAACCACCACACTACCAAAATACCGTTCCCACACACCTCTTACATTGCTACCACATACCATCCACACCGCCATCACGTACCTTGCAAGGATGCATTCGGGCGAGAAGAGAAGAGAAGTGATGTTGAGTTGCAATTCGCGTGATGATACGCTACTCTTACTTTATTGCAACGCACTGTTATTTTCATCATCACTGAGCGGAGATTTTTATTAGCCCGATCTGCCGTGACATTCCGCACAAATCATCGTATTGGGACGTAAGAACAGAACCGCGAGGTAAGCGAAGATTTTTTTTTTTTTTTTTTTTGAGTTCTGTATTTTGTTTGTAACTTTCTCCTTACTATATATTGTTTATGAATTTCATCCTGACCATATATTGTTTATAACTTTCTCCTGACTACATTTTGTTTATGACCATCCCCTTGACCATCATTCTTACCCGTTGATTGTGCAACATAGCAGTTATGTTGGTGAGAAGGACTGTCCGTAATTTGATGATGATCCTTGCATAAAGAAACCCGGAATATTCCTATACTGTATAAAAGGGATACTGTCAGTATATATAAAAAGAGAACACTTTATCACATGTGATTGATTCATGTTGGTGAGGTTGATGGACACTGAAGGACGTCATGCACGGGTAAAAGGAGAATTTATTAAGTGTTTGTTCAATGACGTTAACCAGCGCGTTCACATGGGAAAGTGCAAGCGCCGGGGTCGGGTGAGTGAGGAGGTGGTTAGGAGGGGGGGGTGAGGGAAAGAGAGGGAGAGGCGTGAGGAGAGGGAGGGAGGAGGGGGGGGAAGAGTCAAGATGATTATGTGATTTAGATAGATAGTGAACTTTTATCCATCGAGGGAAAAAATGAAAAAAACTTATGCATGATGTAAAGAAAAGGAAAAAGAGATTCAAGACATACCCATTTCTATCCCCAGAGACGGCTAACGGGTCCTGCTAGCTCACTTCCCGTATGTTTGTATGAAATCACAACTCATCCTCCTTTTTTTTTAAACCTGTGTAAATTTGCTCCCTCGGCCGTGCATATATTTGGGAGATCAGTAACCTTTTCTTCCAGGGTTACAGAAAGACAGGGAGAGAAAGAGGGAGGGATGTTGAGTGGGGAAAAAAAGATTGGGAAAGAGAAGGAGGGAAGGATAACAGATTATCGATCTTTCTTTCTCTTATTCTATTGCCATCTCATTTCCGTTTTATTTAGTTTGTGTCCCTCCTCCTCCTCCTCTTCTTCTTCTTCTTCCTCCTCCTCCCCCTCCTTCTTCCCCCTCCTTCTTCTTCTCCTCCTCCTCCTCCTCCTCCTCCTCCTCCTCCTCCCCCCTCCTTCTTCTCCTCCCCCTCCTCCTTTCTCCTCCTACTCCTCCTCCTCCTGACTTTCCTCCTCCTCGTCAGTCAGTCCGTCCTTCCGTCCCGACACGCAACGTCATATAATTCATTCTAAAGCTGGAAAAGGGAAATGAGGTACTTCTCCCCCGCGGCCTCACCTCGCCCTCCGGATCCTTCCAAGTATGGCGGAGGCTGGGGGGGGGGGATACGAAACGGGAGGGTGAAACTCCCCCCCTTTGGCTACTTCCCTCCCTGGGTTCACATTTCGCGGTAATCGTCCTCGTCATGCTCCGTTTTGGTTGCAGTCTCCCTTGCCCATTTGCAGCGATATTTCCACCCTTTATCATCCCCTGTTTGGCTTTCTCTTCGTTTAGCAATATTCCTCTTTCACTCCCTGTCGGCGTCATATTCCCTTACCAGCTACCCCCCTCCCCTTTCAAACAGTTCCTCCTTCGCCCCCATCCTGGCAGAAACCCCTTCCAATTCCTTGCCGATACCCTCCCCCCCCACCATAATTCCCTGTCATTAACCTCCCCTTCCATCGCTGCCAACCTCTCCCCCTCACCCCCCACTCTCCCATCAGCGCCCCACACCTTTCGCCCTCAGCTCACAGATAGCGGCATTTTTCTCTTTATGTGTTTCTATAAAGATTTAGGGCAACGAGGGAATTCGATTGGACTTGGGTTCGTCAGATCTCATTACAGAACATGTAATAGGATTGAAATTTCATTTTGGGGTGAGAATGGGTAGAGGAAGGAAGGGGGAGGGTGTGTTATTGTCGTAACCGATTGAAAAACGTCATTATTAGATTTGGGGTTATCAAACCTTGAAACATTATAACTGTTGAAATAAATTCAACTAATTTAACTTTTCAACACATAACACACACACACAACGGGCGCAAACGAGCCTGTATTTATATATCCATATACTTATTCATATATTCAGTCATTCATTTAAGAGGATGCGTACATCAGGACTATTCTCAACGGGATGCCGTCATGGTAACCAGCATCACGGACGGACGAACAAACTACTCTGTCTGTAGGTCAAGCATCTCGGAAAGATGATTTTGCAGCACTTTATCAACGTTATATAGCTGTTATTTTTGATGGCCGTCCGTAGTGTATTAATAATATCAAATTCCATTCCCCATATGCGCGAAGCAGGCAAATATTATATTACATTACATGTGATGTCATTGAGTTTAACGACTCCATAACGGAGGCATAAATCACGATCGCGGTCGTCGTGGGGGTAAGGGGGAGGAGGTAGGGGAGGGGAGGGGAAGAGGAGAGGAGGTAGGAGAGGGGAAGGGAAGGAGGGGATGGAGGTAGGAGCAAGAGAGGGGAGGGGGAGAGAGGGGGGAGGAAATTCGCCAAGGTCCATTTCGTCCATTTGTGATTCTTTATTTTTGTTCCTAGACAAAATTCTCACACCGTACGTGTGGGTCGCGCTCGCCACGCGGTTGCCGGGTGAGAATTCCCGAAAAAGGAACGCTGAGAATTGGGCTGTGATGGCGTGCTGAAGGGGGGGGGGGGGATGGGGGAAGGGAGGGGGGGGGAAGGAGGAATGGAATGAAAGGAAGGAGGTGTAGGAGGCACAGAAGGATAAAGGGAGGGGAATGAAGGAAGGGAAGGATGGAAGAAAGAAGAAGGGAGGGGAGAAAGGGATGGAAGGAGGGGAAGGCAAGATAAGGAGAGAGAAAGGTAGATTGAAGACAGGGAGGGATAGGTGAAGAGAGAAGAAAAGGGGAAGAGAGAAGGTAAAAGAGGGATAGAGGAAGGGAGGCAAAGAAGGGAATGGTGAGGGAAGGACTTGATATTAGAGATAGAAAAAGAAGGGAGGGAAGAATGGAAGGAGGGAGTGACGAAAAAAATAGTGATTGAGGAAGGGAATGAAAGAAATATAGTGACGGAGAGAGGGAGCATGTTAGACAGGAAGATTACAAAGGAAGGAAATAATTTTATCTTACATATATGATAGTTTGCACAGTTCGCGTCTTGCACTTTAGCATTGTACAACAGACGGAAGCTCAGTGATAACAGGCTGTACTTTTTGTGTGTTTAAAGCCGTGTGTGTGTGTATGTATGTATGTGCGTGCGCGCGTGTGTGTGGGTGCATGCTTTCGTGCATTTTATTACCTTACATAATGAGCGTGTGATTGATATTGATTATGTAAGAGAACTCGTTGTTTTACTATTATTTGATTCCCAGGGCTGTTATCTTCTTTACCGAGGCAAACCAAATATCCGCGTCGCTGACATAAGTAGGAAGAATACGCAGGCAAAAATATTTCAGTCGTTGGCGGTCCCTGGAAGGAGGAAAAGTGTAGCATGTAAACGTCCCTCTCGTCGGTAGAGATCTTAAGCGGTGTCTGACCTCTTCGTTTTTTGTTGAGGAAATGCATTTTTTTTATCTCTCTCTCTTTCATTTCTTAGAGATTTTTTAAGGGGGGGGGATCACGGAGGAATTTACGTTATACGTGATCGAGCAAATCTTAGAGGTCGTGAAAAGAAGCATGGATTTTTGTTTTTTTAAGGTCATGACCTGAGCTCGGGTTTGTCGTGCTTGTCTGGGGTTGTACTGGTGACCTGGGTTGACCTGGTGTGTTTAATTATCCTGGCGGGAGGCTGCTTTGTTGGAATTTTATGAGGGCTATTTCTGATATAATTCGAGTAAGAAGGAAACGACAGAAAAAAAAACGCAGGAGGGACACGATGAGTACAACACTCTCCTCTCCCCCTTATAAAACGACGCTGGGGATAATAATGGTTAAAATAATAGCGATAATGGCGATAACGATGGCGATAGTAGTAACGACAACAACTGCTGCTGATGATGATACTACTACTTCTACTACTACTACTACTACTACTACTACTACTACTACTACTACTAATAATAATAATAATAATAATAATAATAATAATAATGTTACTATTAGTATAATTGATACCACTACAAAAAACAAGAGTAGTAATAAGAAGAAGAAGGAAAAGAAAAGGAAAAAAACGAAGGAAGAGCGATAAGGAAGTCCATCGCCCTCGACGCCTCTCCTTGAGTCGCCCCTCAGACGCCACCAAAGCACGACCCAGGAGCCAAGAGCCATAGGGCGTGTCC